TGGCATAGGTTTGCTTTCTATTAAAACTTTTAGATAGAATATCCAGTGAAACTAAATAAACATATAAGAACTATTATTCACATCACAAACATTTTGAGTTAGAAAAATAAAAGGAACTTTTAAATTATGCTAGCGTATTTAAACCTTGATAGGACTTATAAATATTCTGGTTGATAATCCAGCTTATCAGAAACAGTTCTTATGCATAAGATGAAAGTATATCTGGTGTTATGAGTGATATCCTTGTGAAACCTCTTGATAGTGAATTATTAAATTAAGCCGAGACAAACTCTAGAACATGGATTATTTACATACTTGTCTAAATTTCCACTGAAGATGGCAAATCGAACATACATCTTCTTCCCATCCCTACCAATAACCCGCTGAAACGACAGAAGAGAAATACTTAAAAATAATAACATATAAATTGTAAATTAACTAATGCCAAAACTAATAAATATTAGTTCTTCCAAAGTAAAACACAAAATGGGGTATAAACAGAGGAAAAATAATTAACAGATTTAGCTTAATAAAAATGTTAAGATTTCTGAGAAAGAAAATATGCCGTAAATAAAATTATAAGACAGGCAAGCTACAAAAAAATAGCAAATTTGTTTTTAAAAAGGACAAATAGAAGAATATATAGACTGTCTAGATATTATGAAGAAACAACCAAAAACATGGACAAAGGGTAGAAACAAGTCAGCTATTTCACAAAACTGGAAATAACAGAGGGCCAATACACACATGGAAAAGAACGCTCAACCTAATTTCTAATCAGATAAATGCAAATTAAAACAAAATGTTACTTTTTACGTCCCAGTAAAAGTTAGGATTTCTGTCTATTAAAAAAGCTAGTACAATGCTAAGATGAAAAAAATGACCAAGATATATTGTTAAGTCAAAAAAAGTAAGCCAAAGCATGATAATTGTATTTTTGTTAAAAACAAAATAAGTACTCTAAATTATTAACAGTGATTACTTCTGGGAAGTGGAGTAAAAGGAGAAGAAGAAAATTAATTTTTCTATTTTGCTTTGTGAACATGTATTTCTTCAATCTTTTATAAGAATGAAGTGTAAAAAACATTAAAAGGAAAAATGAATTTACAGTATAACAAAAAAGATATAATGTGAAGACAAGAATTTTTATGATTTTCACAAAATATAAGTAGACAGGATCAAATTGACAGAAAAAAGAAAGGAAAATCACAGTCAAAGACACCATAGATAAGTGTAATTCTTCGAGAGTCTTAGAAGCAAAGAAGAATTAGCTGTGGAACAGACAACATGACAATTAATATTAAATTCATTCTGAATAATTAAGCCAACTGAACTCCTCCTCCTTTCCCTCCTTTTCATGACCGTATATCTCTGAGAGGCCTACCCCTCATCTACTTTACATCGATGAAAAAGATACATAGAGAAATAAACAACTGATGAAAAAACCCAAACCAGCTACTGGAAAAACATAGCCAAAACAAATGAAAGACCAAGATAAACAAAGGAAGAAATAAAGAAAATACAAGAATCAGAAGATAATCTTTTGGAGCAAGGGGAAGAAGAGAGTGTATTTAATATCCTTATTAGAGAGACTGAGGGGGACACTGCAGTCATAAAACAGGGTGCAGTGAAAAAAAGCCAGAGACCAAGAATTGTTAGGATTTAAAAATACAGATATCAGCTAGGTGTGGTGGCTCTTGCCTGTAATCCCAGCACTTTGGGAGGCTGAGGTGGGTGGATCACTAGGTCAGGAGTTTGAGACCAGCTTGGCCAACATGGTGAAACCCCATCTCTACTAAAAATATAAAAATAAGCCAGGCGTGGTGGCACACACCTGTAATCCCAGCTAGTCTGGAGGCTGAGGCAGGAGAATCGCTTGAACTCAGGAGGTGGAGGCTGGAGTGAGCTGAGATTGCACCACTGCAGTCCAGCCTGGGCAACAGAGTGAGACTTCTTCTCAAAAACAAACAAACAGATATCAAAAGAAAATATTCAGTAGTTGCTGGAAGATAAGGAAGTATCTCAAAATGCAGAAAAGAAAGATTTTAAAATGTGCAATAAAAGTTAAGGGATGAAGATGAACAACTCATGAAGTTCGACATCAACCAAGTTTATAATTCAACAAATATTAGCATCTACTGTGTGTAAGACACTGTTTGAAGCACTGAGGAAACAGAAGTGAACAAGAAAAACATCTGTAGAGAGAGAGTAAAAATGCGTAAAAATATCAGATTCAGTGAAGAAAAATAAAACAGGATACAAAGATAGTAGCAGGAAGACGCTTTCACAGAGAGTGATCGCTGTGATGTGATAAGGAACCGCTTGAGCAGGGACTTGACAAAGTGACAGAATAAGTCAGAAAGTGAGAAAGTAGACAGTGGACAGGGAAAATAAAGAAATAATTGATCTAGATAAAACTGATAGGAGGTGAAGAAGGCCTTCACCCTGAAAGGGCTTGCCAAGGGTAGATCATCAAACCTAGGACACATCCTGTGAAATAAAATTCAAATATTTTAAAAATTCCTACATTGAGATACCATCTCATGCCAGTTAGAATGGCAATCATTAAAAAATCTGGAGACAACAGATGCTGGAGAGGTTGTGAAGAAATAGGAACACTTTTACACTGTTGGTGGGAGTGTAAATTAGTTCAACCATTGTGGAAGACAGTGTGGCAATTCCTCAAGGACCTAGAAATAGAAATTCCATTTGACCCAGCAATCCCATTACTGGGTATGTATCCAAAGGATTATAAATCTACTGTAAGGACACATGCACGCGAATGTTCATTGCAGCACAGTTTACAATAGCAAAGACCTGGAACCAACCCAAAAATCCATCGATGATAGACTGGACAGGGAATATGTGGCACATATACACCATGGAATATTATGCAGCCATCAAAAACAATGAGTTCGTGTCCTTTGTAGGGACATGGATGACCCTGGAAACCATCATTCTCGGCAAACTGACACAAGAACAGAAAATCAAACACCACATGTTCTCACTCATAGGCAGGTGTTAACAATGAGAACACATGGGCACAGGAAAGGGAGCATCACACACTGGGGTCTGTTGGGGGGAAATAGAGGAGGGACAGCGGGGGGTGGGGAGTTGGGGAGAGAGAACATGGGGAGATATGCCAGATATAGGTGAAGGGAAGGAAGGCAGCAAATCACACTGCCACGTGTGTACCTATGCAACAATCTTGCATGTTCTTTCACGTACCCCAAAACCTAAAATACAATTAAAAAAAAGAATATACCGCTACCGATCACACACACACACACAAAATTCCTTAGTTTCCACAGAAAAAAACTAGATTACAAACAAAACCATTACAGTGATTAGGTTCAAGGAATCAAGAGTGTTGTAGACAATACCCAATTCCAGTGGATACTGACATGATCACAAAAAGAAAAGCAATTATATATTATGTGTTGGAAGTACACAATGTCACTTCTAAAATATTCTTGCCAAAAAAGTTGATCCTGAGTCTGATCAAGCCCCTGAATCAACTGCTGATTTACCTCTTCTCCACCTACGCATTATTCAGCTCTTTGTCCATTTCCCAATAACCTCTAGTCTAAAAACAAAGACATTTTTCAAAAATTTGTATTTTAAAATATTTTATACAGCCTGTAGATTCTCATTCAGAATCAGTGACTTCACACTTTAAATGTTAGGTCAAGCCTGGTAGGCACTAAAATTAATTTTTTGAGTCTGTGAACAACTTAGCACTTACTTTCTTAAATCTGATTTAGTCTCAAGTTAGAATACTTATATAAACATTATTTCTTAAAACAGAAGGTTGTGTTCAATTTTCTGTATTTTTTTTTTTTTTGCTATTTGGAAATACTTGTTGCTTTGGGTGATATATAAAATGTTCTTTGGCATCAAATAACCATTTTTTTTTACAAGTTCTATTTGTGGACACAAAAATAATTTATTGTTTTATTTTCCACTTTAATTTTGGAATGGGGGTGGTTTTTGAATTATAATCTTGTAGGAGGATCAGTGAAGGTCAGTAAATCATGTTATAAAACCAATGGAGTATAATTGTTTATGTCCTTCTTGTATAGTCTGTTATCAGAATTTTCCATGCGTCAATCTATGTTTTGTAAAGTTGTTTTCCCTACTATAAGGAAAGCACTGTCAAAGCTTTCTTACAGTAGGGAAAGCTAACATTCTGGGGTTCAGGACTTTAAAAAAGTAATTTAGTATTTAAAAGATAAATTAATTGAGGATATGAGTACTCAAAATTGTAAATGATGCCTTGAATTGAGTAGTATTCAATGACAAGAACAAGGTGGCTGAGAGCTATAATCTGTGTTTTTTCAGGTTGTTAGCATAAGTTATAGAAGTTTTATAATAAATGCATTAAAAAATTATGGTGTACTAATTTGTTAATTAAAATCCTCTTCATTAAAACATTTTGTCTTAGAAAATGGCCTTAGGCATTCTTTAATTTCTTGATTTGGAACAGAGTGAAAAAGCATATGAAGCGATTGGGATAATTGTAATGTACATGTTGCCCTGCTTGTTGATGATACTTTTTTGTAGTTTATAAAGCAAAGTGTTGTAAACACTTTATAGAATGAAATTTTACTACTTGACTAACAAGCCATACTCTATCCAGAGGATTTCCAGTGTCAGCTTTCATTTTGTAATGCAGAAGCTTTACTGTGATATAATATGTTATGATATTTTAATTAGGAAACTAGATCATGGGTACTCCACATTATAGAATAAATTTCTCAATGTTCCCATGTTCTACGAAATTAGAATGAAAAATACATTTGAATTTACATTAAATTTGATATGCTTTGAATGTTGAGAAGTCAGGGAAAGTGGTGGAGTGGGGATTATGTAATTTGTTTGGGACTCCATAGTGGGAGGTGGAATCAAAGCAATTTTTAATTTATAAACAGTACGGAAATTTTGACCCATGGCATTTAATTTACATGAATCTTTCTATTTTTTTTCTCTGTTTGTTATAGGCAAAGGGGAAGATAGTGATGTACTCAGTATAAATGCAGATGCTTATGACAGCGACATAGAAGGCCCATGCAATGAAGAAGCAGCTGCTCCTGAGGCACCAGAAAATACAGTTCAAAGTGAAGCTGGTCAGATAGATGACCTGGAGAAAGACATTGAGAAAAGTGTGAATGAGATTCTGGGACTGGCAGAATCTAGCCCAAAGGAACCCAAAGCAGCCGCCCTGGCTGTTCCTCCACCAGAAGATGTTCAGCCTTCTGCACAGCAACTAGAACTGCTAGAACTTGAGATGAGGGCAAGAGCGATTAAGGCCCTAATGAAAGCTGGTGATACAAAAAAGCCAGCCTAGGTATTTAACTTGAGTTTGAATTTTAGGTATGTTTGAACAAAGCCACATCATATAATTTTGTATCTAAAATTTATTTGGGGTCTTATATGTTATTTCTCATGTAACCCTTATTAGGTCAACTTATTTTAGGTGTAAAATACCGTGGCTATTTCTTTTTATTCTTTATTTTTTTGACTACTTTCATATTATAAATATGTGTTATTGTCTTATGAATTGATGGCAAATATAATTGGATAGCCTGGGTACTTTGTTAGATGAGTATTTAGCTGTGTCTGCAAATCTTAAAAGCCATTAGCAAAGAGTAATGGTATTTTTTTCTTTATTTTTAAAAGTTTGGCCACCAAACCTAAAAGCAAAAGATTGACCAAGCATGTTTCTCTTAAGGCAACCTGTATTTTGCAATAGAATATTAAATTATTGCTTTAGATTTGTTAATAATTTGAGAAATTTAGTTTTGCTTATATGTGCTTTTAAGATATATACTGTTTTGAAGATTCCTTATGTTGATACAAATTTCATAGTTAAAACCAAATAACAGAGATCTGAAATAGATGAGAAAAACTTTTTTTATTAAAGGAAGGAATTAATTTAAGGCAGTTTTTAACAATGTAGAACTAATTGCCCATGTTTAATTATAGCAGACAAGCCATTCTAACAGGTATTTGATACTATTGAATGCATTATTCTAGTTTTTTTCTTTAATAAAAATGGAACAAGTTTTCATTTACATTCCAAGCTGTCAGGAAACTGAGAATACTTTATTATCCAGGATTTCATCTGATGTAGTTGCTTAAAGATCTGATGTGCTATAATTCCACAAATCAAAAATAAAAAAAGGCTGTCATTCTGGATCTGAAGACTTTTGATACTTTTTCAAAAGCAAAATTAATTTCAGAAACCTTTGATAAGTTGTTGTTATAATTAGTCTAATTTTGTAGTTTTTATAAATAAATTACTATCCTTCCACAATTATGGATGCTTTTCCCCGTCACTAATTGCAGTTGTTTGATACCAAAATAAATTTACCTAGAGATCCTTAACTTAAAATAAATTAATTTTTTAAAAAACATAAAACTGGAACTGTGGTTTCTATATTTGATAACAAATGTATATTTTATTTATAATCATGCTCTACTGTTACTGTATGAGGATTTTCCTTATATATAAAAGTTGCAGGGATTGTGTTTTATTTGCTGCCTTAATTATGTTAATTTTAAAGGGTTTTTACGTGGAAATAGAGGACATTTATGAAACATCGGAATTGCAGTTACAAATTCTTTTTGTTGTTGTTCCTGAACATGGCTTGGAATAATTCTACCATTTTTTTCCCCCTCCTTGAATCTTTCTAATAAAGCATAGAAGAAGCCTGTATGATTTTAAATGCTTCTCTTAGGCTGGTAAACAGATTTGAGTTATGAGTTTCATTGTTATTGCTTTCAATGTCAAGATGAAAAGACATTGATATAATTTTTCTATTTCAACTTAAAATAACAGTTAATATGCTAAAATAGTACAGAATAAACTATTGCTGCTTGCTAGTTACAAAATGCTATAAATGGCATCTGTATGATTAAACATACAAGAGTAGAAAAAGGTCTGAGGACTTTGTAAATGATTGAAGTCTCCACCTTCATGAAGCATTGTGTGTCCTACTCTGTGCAGAATGGTTTACAGGACATTTGACAGTAGTGGATATGTGTGAGGCAGAATGAACAGAACAATTTAGCGCCTACTTAGTTCCCTAACTTGGAAAATCAACTTTTTATCATATTCTTCTTTTTTTAAAACGTTGAAGACTTGAGAGCTTTTTGAAAATGAATGGCTTTAGAGAGTGGCAATGTTTGCTTTAGAAATAGCAATGGGAAAATACCGTGTATATTGATCTGATGCTGCCATTTAAATATTTAGCTCAGAGGTATTTATCGAATGCCTACAAGGTGCTCAGTCTTATTCAAATCTTTATTTTATTTTATTATTGTATTATTTTAATTTTTTTGTAGGAAGGGAGGAAGGCAGGAAGGGAGGAAAGCAGGAAGGGAGGAAAGGAGGAAGGGAGGGAGGGAGGAAAGAAGGGAGGGAGGGAGGGAGAGAAGGGAAGGAAGGAAATCAGGCAATGAGAGAGACATTGCCGACCTGGATCTAGAGGTCTACAAGTTGATTTCTTTTTTTCTTTTTTTGAGAGAAGGAAAGAAAAACAAGGAGTGAAGGAGAGTAAGAAAGAGGAATAAAAAGTGGGAGAGAGAATGGAAATATTGCTTTATTCTAAAAAAAAAAGGTATTACTAATGGCCAATCAATATTTCATTTAAACCTATGAGTAGGTGTGATGTGGTATTGACAAGAATGTATATTTTGTGTATTTAAAGTGGAGAGCTCTATAAATATTTATTAAGTTTACTTTTTCCGGATCTGAGTTAGAGTCCTTGATATCCTTATTAATTTTCTGTCTCATTGAGTCTAAGTCTCTATGCATTTGGGTGTTAGGATCGTTAGCTCTTGTTGTTGCATTGATCCTTTTACAACTATATCTTTGTTGCTTTAAAATCTATTTTATCAGATACGAGAATTGCAACTCCTGCTTTTTATTTATTTATTTATTTATTTTTGCTCTCCATTTGGTTGATAAATCTTTCTCCATCCCTTTGTTTTGAGTCTTTGTGTATGTGAAATGGGTCTGGATGTAACATGCTGTTAGGTTTTGGCTGTATCTTTTGATTGGGGGATTTAGTCAATTGAAATTTAGGATTACTGCCATTTGATGTTAACTGGCTGTTTTATCCATTTGTTGATGTAAATTCTTCTTTATGTTGATGCTCTTTACTTTTTGGTATATTTTTAGAAAGGCTAATACTGGTTGTTTCTTTCTATGTGTAATGCTTCTTTCAGAAGCTCTTGTAAAGCAAGCCTGGTGGTAATAAAATCTCTGAGTACTTGCTTGTTCATAAAAAATTTTATTTTATGAAGCTTAGTTTGGCTGGATATGAAATTCTGGGCTGAAAGTTCTGTTCTTTAAGAATGTTGAATATTGGCCCCCACTCTCTTCTGGCTTGTAGAGTTTCTGCTGAGACATCTGCTATAAGTCTGATAGGCTTCCCTTTGTGGGTAACCTGACCTTTCTCTCTGGCTGCCCTTAGTATTTTCTCCTTTGTTTCAACCCTGGTGAATCTAATGATTATGTGCCTTGGGGTTGCTCTTGAGGAATATCTTTGTGGTGTTCTCTGTATTACCTGGGGTTGAATCTTGTCCTGCTTTGCTAGTTTAGGAAAATTTTCCTGAATAATATCCTGAAGAATATTTTCCAGCTTGGATTCATTCTCTCCGTCGCATTCAGGTACACCTATCAAACGTAAATTTGGTCTTTTCACATAGTCCCACATTTCTTGGAGACTTTGCTCATTCCTTTTTATCCTTTTTTCTCTAATCTTGTCTTCTCGTTTTATTTCATTAAGTTGGACTTCCACCTCTGATATCCTTTCTTCTGCTTGAACAATTCGAGTGTTTAAACCTGTGCATACTTCTCGGAGTTCCTGTATTGTATTCTTCAGTTCCATTAATTCACTTATATTCCTCTCTAAGTTGTCTATTCCCATTAGGATTTCATCAAACCTTTTTTCAAAGTTCTTAGTTTCTTTACATTGGGCTACAACATGTTCTTTTAACTCACAGAATTTTCTTATTATCCATCTTCTGAAGCCTGATTCTGTTAATGGGATGCGCTCATTCTCCATCAAGCCTTGTTCCCTTGTTGATGAGGAACTGTGATCCTCTTTAGAGGGAGAGGCATTCTGATTTTGAGTATTCTCAGCCTTTTTACGCTGATTTCTTCCCATCATTGTAAATTTATCCACCTGTTGTCTTTGTAATTACCAACTTTCAAATTAGGTCTCTGAGTGGACGTCCAAGTTGTTAATTCCCAGGGCCGAAACATGAGCAACCCACTGTGCCGGCCAAAACAGCGGCGTTAAGACTGATGGTGCTTTTCTGCCCAGGAATCTCCAGTCTGGCTTCCTTCTTGAGTCCGTAATAGGCGACTCTGCCTTCCCGGAGCTCCAAACCTCGGTCACAAGGGGAACCAGTCCCGTTTACTCTGCACCACGAGCTGCTGCGCCAAGGTGCCGGCAAAACCGCTGCGCTGGCCACAAGAGTCGCGCTGGCGACCCGTGTGACTCCTCCACTGGGAGTCTTGTCCGTGAGCGACCAAATTTTGTCTGAAAGTGTGGTGTCTCTCGTGCTCTGCGCTTTAACTGGGAGCTGCAATCCCGAGATGTTAGCAATCAGCCATCTTGGATCGTTCTCTCTCTTATTCAAATCTTAAACCTAGAGATGTTACAATATAGATTTTATTGTGGAATAGACTGGTTAATACAGACACGGCTACTGCTTGTTTTTATGCCTGATTTCTTCCTTTTGTTAAGGTGAGGAACATTTTTAGGTAATATTTAACTAGTAATTAAAACATAAAAAAAACGGCAGCTGAATTTTTCATTCACTGTCAAGCAATCCTGATATTTGATGAAGAACTTGACTTAAATCTTTTTTATTTTTATTTTTTTAGAGATGAGGTTTTTGCTATGTTGCCCAGGCTGGCCTCAAACTCCTGTGCTCAGGCTGTCTCTCCCACCTCAGCCTCCTGAGTAGCTGGAACCACAGGCACACACCACAGAGCCTGGCCCCTCGAATCTTGAATGGTGGGTGCCAATGGATAATAAGTCTTCTATATTAATGAGCAGATACCTCAAGCCCTAAGCCTTCATTCACATTAAATGTTCCTACTAATCCACATAGATATATGCTAAAAATCTATCACCAGGTTACCAGTAACATTTCAATTATGAAAAGATCACTCAAAATCTACACATCTTTTTATTGAACACTATTGACTCCTCAAGTTAATCAGGCAATATATTCTTTCCTAATAAATCTTTTGGCCAAAACTTATTTTTAGCAAAATGTTAGATCTAGGATTTGTTATCTGAATAAAGGTATTCTGAATCATTTGGACAGTAATACAGATTACAACAAAATCACCATTTTTCAATGCCATTTTCAAGGTAGATAAAGCAGAAGTGAATCTGTAATTTGGGCCAAATACTTGGGCAGCTTAAAAGCTTTAAAAATCCTCAGTTCTAGTCCACCATAAAAAGTAGAAAGAGGGCTGGGCGCAGTGGCTCATGCCTGTAATCCCAGCACTTTGGGAGTCTGAGGCAGCAGATCACCTGAGATCAGGAGTTTGAGACCAGCCTAACCAACATGGAGAAACCCCATCTCTACTAAAAATAAAAAAAAAAAAACTGGGAGGCTGAGGCAGGAGAATCACATGAACCCAGGAGGCAGAGGTTGCAGTGAGCCGAGATTACACGATTGCATGCCAGCCTGGACAACAAGAGTGAACTCTGTCTCAAAAAAAAAAAAAAAGAAGAAGAAGAGGTCAGTTATGGTTACTTTTCCTTGATTATGTCTGCTTAATTCTTAAAAAGTAAAAGACCAATATGTATTAACTTAAAACTTGATCTTTAGGTGTGTTTACATTTTCTTTATATTCTTCAAATAAAACAAGTATACCAATAGGAACCCATATAGTCAATATATTGATACATTTGATATTTAATAATTATTTTTAAATGCTTTGTGATACAATGAGAAGAATGTGAGAGTAGAGAGCAGAAGGGTCTGATTCTGCCTACCCAGCTGTGTTACTTTGGACAAGTATCTATAAAATGAGGGAAATAAATTGTTAGCCAATATGTAAGATTTCTTTCAGCTATAATAGTCTGTGATTCCAATACAGAATGCTGTAAACTTTGCCAAACTTGTAGAACTCTTTTGAGTTCAAGTATTTCTCATCTCCTTCCTTCCTCTCCTCACCCAATTCAAAATGAAGCAATTGAGTCTCTCTTGTTCCTCATTGTTGCTGGATGTGAACAATCTAGTAGTTTTTTTTTTCTTGTACCTGTTCCAGTCTTCAATGTCAAGATTGCTTGGTAAGTATTAATATATATTGTGTAGAGTTATTCACTGCGGTCCACAAATGTAGCTGTTTAGCTGTTACCTGTAATATTTATCTCTGTGTTTTTAAATAACATGATTATTATGCCATTTTAAAAATATTTCAGTTTTAGATTTTTATCAGTTGGCCTGTTCTGGGATTTGAAGTTGAAGCTGTAGTTCCTCTGCCTCTTCTCTAAATGCATACCTTCCACTCTCATTTTCACAGTAGAGAGCAGTTACATCACAGTTCATGGTTAGTTAGCATGCAATATTTATACTATTTTGACTCTATAAATACTATTCACAACTGGAATGTGTGGTATCTGTAATTCTATTTCCTTTTTTGGTCCAGTTTTTGGCTTGAGTTTTTTGGAACTAATAATACTGCCGTATTGTTTTACTTGCTGAATGGTCTATATAGCATAGGACTGCTGTATAGTAGTATTTTAAGACTTCCCAGAACGGAACGACATGAATTTACACCCAGCCTATCCTCTAGAAGTGTAAGTCTCGGTAGGTTCAAACACATCATATAATCCATCATGTTTTTCTTTAAAGATATTCCTTCTGGAGCTCTCTGTACTTTGCTAATCTGGATTGGTTGCTCTTCACCTCTCTTATGTTGGAAGCCCCATTTCCTGAATTCTCTT